GTTATTGTTTTTATTTTTGCTATTAATTCCAGCTCAAATCGCCAATTTTTGATAAAGAAAGTAAACAAAATTTCTTTGAGCATCTTTATTTTGTTAAAGTTGAAAAATCTTTTTGGAATTAGTTTTTAAAAATATTTTGTCTCTATTAATTTTCAAGAATGTATAACAAAAAACACTACAGGTGGTCTAGAATAAAAAAGATCGCGAGACACGAAGAAGATAGAAAGAGCAAGTTTCTTTAAGAAAGATAGTCTGTGAAACAATTTTATTCTATTTTTGCTTTGATCAAACTCCATATTGCATCAGGAACTATACTTTTCAGATGTGAACTGTCTACAAAAAAGTGAACTCCTGTCCCCACCTTTTTTTTGTGTTTTAAAAAAAATAAGTCTAAGTAAAAGTGTCCACATTTATTCGAGCGCAGCTGTACCTACTTCGCACCGCAAACCATCTGAGTATAATGGTCATTTAAAAAGAATTTCTTTAACGTAGCGGTAATGGCGCAAATAAATAAAGCCGTTGAAGGAAATTTGCAATAATTGAAAAAAACCTACTTGCATTGCCTTATGTCGCACCCAGGAAAAATAATAATATGGTAAATTTGTCCGCGTGACAAGCTCGTGTAAAGGCTATTAGTTTAATAAAGTTGGGTTGTGAGCCGTCATTAAAATACAATTTCGAACAATTTATAGAATATATTAATGAGAAAAAAGGTGATAGTTGACCTTTGTGACACTGCTATTACAAGCAACACTGCGATCGCCGCCCTGATCCGCTCAATCAGCCAATGAATAATCGCCACGTTGATGCGAAATTACTTAATTAAAAAATCGTTATCGAAAGAACTCATTTAGCAGTCAATTTATTTCGAGAGATTTATTGGAGTATCAAAATACAAACTAACAATTATTCTCGTAAATAATCCACGAATTACATTTGTTCGTTATTACTTGGCTGCCATTGCCGATGAAATCGGCAAGAAACCATGATTTATGTTAAGTTGATATTAGTTCCTTCCGTGAAGATTATAGTGCCATAAATTGTGGCAGATTATTAAACATGGCAGCGTGGTGATGGTTTATAGCCATTTCGAATCTTGCATTTTGCAAATGCGATATATTATAACCTCACATTGTTGACATTTGTACTCGTGTCACGTGACCAAAAGAGATGTCTCGATTGGCCACTTTCAACTTTCAAAACCACGTCTGAGTGAAATTGACGAAAAGATTTATGATTATATTACGTAAAAACCGTCATTATCGATAAAAATCTGGGCATAATCACGTTAAAAAGCTGTTATTATACCCCAATATAATTAATAATAAAAGTAATAAAAAGCCCGCCAATTGCCGTTACTTCACACGCGCAACTGGCCACGATTATTATAAATTTTTCGGTTCATTTACAGTACAGGGAGAAACATGTATAAAATTTTACGATTTCGGTTTTTAACTGATTTTTGACATGACACCCTCTGTATCTTAAATTAGACGAGTTTCTTGGTTTTTTACCCTACGTTTCCTGTATTCAAACCAAACAAATCATTAATACGACATAGACTCTTATAAAAATATACAATTCCTTTTTGGTGAAGGCGTCCGGGATGATTTAAAATGATAACAGACGATAAAAGTCAAAGGAACACAATCGACGGTCGTACGAGAATGAAAAATGTTTGCTCGCTTGTATAAATAAGAGACGGAGATGCTAATAATTCAGATTATGCTCTCTAATTAAACTCCTGCTGGGCACTTCGTTTCAACTAATAAAATTCATGAAAAAGCTATAATAATATATTAAGACCTGTCGTCTGATTTTACTGTAATGCTTATTTTCAATATTCGGGGACCGTTGACACGTTGGGCTTTTGTATGAGGGATTTATTGGCAAAAGAAAAAATATATAATATATGAAAAGTTTGCTTTAGAGAGATCGATCAGTTGGTTGAAATTGTCAATAGTTAATTATGGTGACTAATAATTTTGCGAACCCACTATCTCCATAGTTAACTATTGACGAGTCTATTTCTTCAGATTTCTGCTCATTTTAACACTCTGAATAAAAAGCATTGTCAATTCTTGTTTAGGAAAAATCCCTGTACGTTTTGACAACATTTAAACTATTGACAGTTTAGTTAATTATTCAGGCTGTTCCATATTGGGAGTTCTAACAGTGATATTTATCTAAAATTTTGTTCATAGACATAATCGGTTAAGTTCTGCTCAATAAAAAGGTTTTTTTTGATATACCGGAAGTGGATATCAACTTTGCTATTTTAAATAGAAAGATAGGTTTTTTATTGCGTTTTTGGATTGCTCTAGTGATTTTAAGAGAGTTTTTATTATCCTTCCCTATACCTAAGTTTAACCGTTTTGGAAATATTTAGACCTTTTTAAAATTTTTTGGATTTGAATCTTCCTATTCAAAAATCGATAACTCTACCATTTTGTATTATATTTCATGGGTATGCGAGAGAGAATGGTTAGATCTTTCCTTTGGTGTATTCATAATTGGAAAATTGGAAAAACAATTAACAAACCGCCAAAATGTAAAGTTATGTTTAGGAAACTTCAAATACTCAACTCAATTTTTCTAAATGAAACACCCCAATTTTTTCTTCACTAAATGGAAGAGAATTTAGTTCTGCTTCGATTTGTATTAACTTCTTTTGATATTGTGAGAAATTCATTAGACATAGCTACCTTAGCATAGGTTGTCATAGAATTAAGGAAAAAATAGAATATCAAAGTTATTCAAATTTAGATTAAATTTAATTTGTATTTACGAAAAGAATAACACAATTGTAAAAAAAACTTGAGGTTTTTTCAGAGAGAAAATTTTTCAAGGCAAACTATACAAAAACTACCATGGTTAGTAATTAATTTCTTCCATTGTAGAAAGAAGTTAAAATAACTTGAAAACCATTAAATTTAGATAGGAAATGTTGATGAAGAATTAAATTCTCTTTCATTTAGTAAAGGAAAAATTGAAGCCTTCCAATTAAAAAAATTCAGTTACGGGTATTTGAAGTTTCCCAAACCTAAATTTTACAAGTTGGTTAATTATTTTTCCAATTATAAATACAGAAAAGAAAAGCTCTAACCTTTCTTTTTTGTACGCTAAAATACGATTTCAAAATAATTAAAAATGGTAGAGTTATCAATTTTTTAAGAAGAAAATGCAAATTAAAAAAAATTCAAAAAAGTCTAAATATTTCAAAAACGGTTAAATTTAGGTATAGGGAAATATGATAAAAACTTTAATCATTTTTATTGATATGTAGTTCTCTGTCAATAGTTAAATTTTACACTTTGTCAAAAAAACCTAACGTTTTAAAATATCCTAGTTTCATCAAATTCATTATAGAATTTATTAAGTATACTAATTGAGTTCTCAAAAGAATTGAAAACATTTTGACATTCTGCATCACTGCAACCGAATATGGTTGTAGTTAAAGAGCAAAAAGGATTTTAATAGTTATTTGTGGAGGCTCCGCAGTTATTGACAACACTCGATAATATCTTTGATAGTAATCAAAAATCAGTAGTTAATCCATCAATAAGTTTAATTATTAACAGTTTAGTTAGCATCAATATAACAAGTGACAACTATTCTAACTATTAACATTGTAGAAATTGATACTTGATAGTTTTCTAAATAATCGATTTAAGTAATTAAATAACGTTTTAACAATCGTTAATAATAAACGATAGTATGATTCTAACTCTAATATGTCTATTATTAATAATAAATCGACAATACGAGTATATATATTTTTTGTTAAATAAATATTAAAAAGTCATTGATAATTCCGTGAATACAAATTAATGATGACAGTTTACTGATCGTTAACTATCAGTACTTTACCTAAATACATAATCTGTCGCAAAAAGTGGAAAGTTCGTTTAATTATATCTACGTCGCAAATCATCTCGTGCAACATTTTAAATTAAACTTGTCCCGAATTTGTCAAGCAATTACCTTCAGTGGGTCATGATTGCAGTTGAAAGAATACGCCTATAAATTACATTTTGTGTAAGGCAATCGAATAATTTTTTGGTAATTTATTTTACTTAAATTCAGTTGCATTTAACGGAATATTGCCATAAATTTTAACTAAAATTAATGCATATTTAATGTTCTCAAAGAAAAATTCTTTTAATAATTCAAAAATTAGTTTCTATTAAATTGTTTTGTCCTTGTAAAGATATAGTTTTGTAGATAAGTGACATTTATTGAGGTTTTCAAATGGCTACAAGTCACTTACTCTAAAATTTTGAACAATTTAAGTAAGGAAATTATTATTTAGTCCCAAGCAATGAGTAATGTAAAATTTGATAAACCTTTCACATTTTTTAAGAAAGTTTTTTTCGACTTTGGGTACTGGAAAATAGTTAAATTTTATAATTTATTTTGTTTTTTGTTTCACATTTGTTGTCTAATAATTGAACATTATTTCTTCTTCACTAAATACTTGAGTGTTGAATTTGTTAGTCATTATATGTGTGCTATGACATTCATCAGCTATGTAAGTATTTTTGGCTCTTTATAAAACACTCTTAATACATTTTTAGATCATACTTTGCCAATTTATTGTTGCAAAACTTGAAACACCCCTCAAGCAATTATTTGACGAGCGTGAAAATATTTTTTGGAAAATAGATTGCGATCTAAAAGTAAAAAACCAAATTGACAAGTTTTCGGCAAAAATTATTCGCAATTATAAATTTTTCTTTGTTCCGTTTGTAGCGTTGGCATTTTTTTTATTACCATTTTGGGGCAAATTCGATGAATCTTTTTTTATTATTTATATAACCCAAAAGAATTTTGGGAACTGGTCAACCCTTTTTTGCTCTGTTTACATTTCTACATTTCCGTTTATGATTTATTCATCAATTCGCATTCCTATTATAATATTTTACTTGATTCTACAAGCACATTTACAAATAGTTATTCTCAATCAAAAAATTCTACAAATATCGCAAAACGATAACAACATGGATGATGTAATAAAATTTCATGATGGTAGATATCAGAAAAAAATATACACAAGTTTGTACTTGTGTATGTCTCGACATGTAGCATTAAAACAGTAAAATAATCACAATTTTGTTACACGTTTTTGACCACTTTTGTTTCAGATGGATCTCAAAAATTTTACAAATTGTCCGAAGAGCAGTACCGATTTATTTTTGTTTGGCAATTGTATGCCTTGTAACTGTCATTTTTGTTATACTAATAAATGTAAGAAAATTTCATTGTGAGACAATAACTAACATTTTTTGTAGAATGTGGAAAACTCTAGTACTAGTGGTAACCTTCTGAAAATACGGTTACTTCTTGGTGGAATGTGCGGAGCTGTAGTATTGTACACATTTTGCGAAGCGGGACAGTTACTGAGTCATGATGTATGAAATATTAAAAAAAAAGTTTTCCCAATTTTTTTTTTAGATGAGTCAAGTTTTTGATATTTTGTTAACTTCCTCATGGTATAACTGGGACAGCAAAAATAGAAAAATGTTGATGATGTTCTTATTACATTCACTAAAAGCAGAAACATTTTCTTGGGGTGGTTTTACTCTGGATTATCGATTCGGAACTTCGGTAAGCTAGTAGGTCAAAAAAACAAAAATTTGTAACATAATTTCAGGTAGCTAAAACCACATTGTCTTGGGCTTTTGTTTTGTACAACTTGAGAAAATCTAGTTAAAAATTTAATTATAAATAAGTTCATATTTTAAGATTCTCGTGCTTTTTCAACTTAGGTAGGTCACCAAATAAATATCAGATCTGTCACCAAATTGGGGAAACTCAAGTACACATTTCGAAAATTATTTGTAAATTTATCACCAAAAATGTAATTATAGGTATAATATTGAGTGTTCAATTAAAGAGTTTAACACGCTCCATTTAGATTAATCATAACAAAGTAAAAATATTTTTTCTTTTAAAATGCACAAGAGCATTCATATTAAAACATTAAAACTAGTAAGCAAAAAAACATTATTTCTACGCTCAAGTTTTATTTTAGTTCATAAAGTATAACAGCTAATGTATTTAATGTATAATTTATGATTCTCTTTTGTAGTTAATGGTTAAAAAATAAATTATAAAATATTAAATATACAGACTGTCTCATCTAGTCTATCTAGTATTTTTATTTTTTTTACTTTAATATTTCATTGTTTATTACCGTAGTAGGTATTTGAAGTTTAGTTCAAGAGTTAGAAGAACAACGTAAATTTGTTGGAAAATTGATTCTCTTGACTCAACTTTGAAGAAATTAATTAAAAATATGGCCTTCTGTGAACCCCGTTAGTTGGCAAAATTTAAATCAAACGCATTTATTTCCCAAAAATCTATAAAAGACATTTTAGAAATCGGTTCCCGATTTTTTATCCACTTTAACAACTAAAATTGATGACAAATCAGTATAATTTGCGAAGACTATAACACATTTTCAAGATGGTAGTATTAGTTCAAGCTTATTTTAAAACACCCTGTATAAAAAAAATTCCTCTAAAGTAATAGATTGATCTAAACTGTGTTTTAATAATTTAATAAGGTTATTAAATAGCAATTATTGATTTTATAAGAATGTAATTAAATGCTAAAAAGATGTATTTACCATTATTTTTCCATCTTGATACGTTCGACTACTAAAATTATTGGTGATCTGATAAATTCTTTACCAAAATATACCTAATGGGTAAACGCACACTAAAATATTTGTAATAATTAAAATGAATTTTTTAGATGATCCCTTTATCTTTATAAGGAAGATTTTCATAGATTATGGCTACAGCAGGTTTTTCAATTATTACAATCGCCTTGTTTTCGTTTTCCATACTTGTAGTTTATTGCTAGAAGGTTACTACATGGTTAAAAATTTCAGCTTAGATTTTTTCACACAATACGGAGGTGTAACTACCTTAATGTTTTATGTGAGAACTTTTTCACTGTCCTTCGTTTAAATACGTCACTTATTTTTCAGTATTTAATTACCCAATTTTTCACAATTATAAAACAGGATTTGGTTCAGCAAATGATGGAAGAAAGTGAATTATTTTTTTGGAATATGAATTTTGTTCCTTTCAATAAACAAAAGCAAATTTTGAAAGAAATGACACAAAATAAGCGACGAATTAATTTTTTTTGGATCTGGGTTTTATTTTTTGGTATTGTGATGCTACCTGTGTGGGGCGACTTCAACGAAGCACATTTATTTCCACAAATTTATCAGACATATTTGGGAAATTGGTCTACAATTTTTTATTATTTTCATATTTCTAGTTTCCCATTTACAATCTACACAGGAATTCGAATAGCTGCTATTTCATTATATTTAATTTTGGCGACTCATTTCCAAATGGTGTTACTTAAGCAAAAAATTTTACAAATATCGCAAGATTATGGCTTAACAAATCAAGACAAAATTTTTGAAAATTTGTGCGTCTGCGTTTCTCAACACATAGCTCTGAAAAAGTAGTAACAAAAAACGTTTATGATTCTTGATAATCTTGTGTTTCAGATTTATCCAAAAATGGGTCCAAATATTGCAAAAAGCGATGCCTGTGTATATTTGTTTGGCTATATTGTGCCTCATTACTGTTATGTATGTTATTTTAAATGTAAGAAAATCTTTATTGCAAAAAATAGGAGTAAATTTTTTTTTGCAGAATTTTAATATAAATACAAGCAACCATCTTAAAGCACGTTTTCTTGTTGCTGGAATTTACGGTTGTGTTATTTTGTACACATTTAGCGAAGCTGGTCAACACCTAGTCGAAATCGTATGACACAAAAATTAGCTTCTTGATAAATATTGTTGATTTTGTAGACTGATAAAGTTTTTAATACTTTAATTCAGTGCCCTTGGTACAACTGGAATATTAAAAATAGAAAAACACTTATGATGTTCATGTTGGAGTCTCTACAACCCTTGCAAATTTCGTGGGCTGGTGTCACAATAGACTACACATTCGGAAGCTCTGTGAGTAAATCCGCAGAAAATTAGGTCTAAAGCCAAAATTGTAGGTGATTAAAACTTGTTGCTCTTACGCTTTGGTCTTTTACAAATTGCGAAACGGCAAATAAGAACTTGAAATAAAATCGTTTTGCTTAAATCACCTTGTATAACATTTTTAATCGGCCGTTTAGCGTCGTCAGCTATAAATTTTGCGCCATATTAAACCATTTATTTCGTGTAAAAAGTCATCCACAATAAAACCGCATTCTTACAACCAGTCGTCGTTGACGACAATCGCAACTTTTTACAACTAATGAACGAGAGATTAAACAATTATCGCCGCGCATCCGTTGGGAAAATGCGATAGTTTGTTGTAGAAAATGATTGGTAGTTTGTTAACTCGTTCAACGGCTCCCGATTATCACCGGGGGCGCTAATCAAACCTCTAGACGGTCTGAATGCACCCATTTTATCAACAAATAATTTCAAAGAAGATTGAATCACATTAACACGGTTATAATTATAACACTAATAGTTTCTCTATTACTAATGCTATAGTAACTTGACGTAAAAATAACACAACGACGGTGGTCTAACTCTTTAGGACGCTTTTATGTTAACCGCGAATGCTGGATCGTGACGGCGACAAATTCATAGGTTGAGAACAATTTTTCTCATTTACTATTTATTAAAGAGAGTAACCAAATAACCGCAATTTTCTACCTAAATATGTGATTTAGAATTTTGTGAAAGTGTTAAGTTAGGTGTTAAAAGTTACAAAATAGAAACCTCGTTAAAGGCGTCTGTAAAAAGTAAGCAGTTTTTTTTTTCAATTTTCTAAGAAAATGTTATTAAACCACAATTTTTTGGTAGCTTTATCGATTAAGAAGCGAGTTGAAACAGTCCATTAGTGACCTCCTTTAAATGGTAAAATTAAAAAAAATATATACAAGGTGATTCACCAGGAATAATTAGCCTGACCAAATTCTCGATGCAACCACCATTACTTTTCGCAAGTTATTTTGCGACAACTGTAAGGTTGGTTGCATCGAAAATTTGGTCAGGCTTATTATTCCTCGTGAATCACCCTGTATAGGACATTAATATATACGAATCTAGTCCATCGCTTAAAATTATTTTCAACTATACAGTGTGCCTCAAAAATAAGTTACAATACAAACTTGTTTTTTTTATATATGAAACACCATATCTTTCTTAGCATCTTTGAATGTAGACTTTTATGACAATGTTTTTAAGCTAAACTTTTATTGGTCAATTTTGGTTATTCGAAGTTCAGTATTTATAACGACTTTTACAATCTCTAGATAAATCAACGGATAAGTGATCTGTGGTGGAATTACTATTAGAATAAAAAATAAAAATAGGGTGCTCAATTTAATTTTTTGAATTATTTAACATTTAAAAAACTCCTTAATCTATTAATCTTTAAAAATGCAAAACACTAAAAAATTGCTACAGTTTTAATTTCTCTACTTTCTTCTTTGCAGAAGTAAGAAAAAATTTGTTCTAGCTGTCTTAATTTTTGTGTAATAAATTTTTAAAAAGTACATGTTTTAGTTTAGCGTAAAAACATTCTTTTAAAAGGCTACATGCAAAAATGCAAAGAAACATACGGTGTTTTATTTAAAAAAACACAAGTTTGTATGGTAACTTATTTTTGGGACATGCTGTATGGTTGAAAATAATTTTAGGTGATGCACTAGATTAGTATCTATCAATGTGTTATACACCAATACATTTTTTTTTAAATTTTACCATTTAATGGTCACTAATAGACTTTTTCAATTCGCTGGGACACGCTGTATATGTATTATAACAGATAACACAAATAAAAGGTTTCCTCTAAGAAAATAAAATAATAATTATAATATTTTTATAGAATATTGTTGGAATCATATTGTCTATTATTAGGTAGTATCAGTTTCTAATTTACAGCAACTAGTCATAAGTTATAAGAGGTTTTTTGTCAACTTCAGTTTTTCTTGCAAAACTTAGATGTTATTATTATATCTAGAAATAAACTTAAGGATTATCTGTGTTTATACAACTTTTCTTATTATTCATAACCCACTTACCTTGATGCCAAATATTCTCCTGTTCTGCAATGATGGTTTCATCGTCCGACCATAAAATCTCCTCCGTTGAAGCCGCAATGCTATCACAATCCATAAAACTGTCAAATTCCATACTTTCTCGCATCGACATATTTTTTCCGAAATCTGTAACAATAATTAAAGACGATTTTTTAATAAATTAATATTGCAAAAATAATTAAATTAAATATAAGCAAGTTCTATAAAATAATTCGAATTTCAGTATTTATAACAACTTTTACAATTTCTGGATAAATCAACGGATAAGTGATCTTTTCATTTATGAATTCTAGACATTAAAAGTTCATTTTTTTAGATAGACAATTTATCAATCTATTAGATGCAGAAAGAAAAAATAGAGTGTTCCATTTAATTTTTTTAAATTATTTAACTTTTAACAAACTTCTTAATTTATTAATCTTTACAAATACGAAACACTAAATAATGCTACAGGTTTAGATTCTGTACTTTCTTCTTTGCAGAAGTAAGAAAAAATTTGTTCTAGCTGTCTTAATTTTTGTGTAATAAATTTTTAAAAAGTGCCAAGAAACATATAAACATTATTTTTAGGACATGCTGTATGGTTGAAAATAATTTTAGGTAATGCACTAAATTATTATCTATCAATTTCCTATATACATTTTGTTTTATCACTCAAAGGTCAGTATTGGACTTTACCGACTCGCTGGGACAGCCTGTATAAGAACAAGTTGGAAAGAATGATTTATACTGGGATAAGAAATTTTTGTTTTAATTAAAGTCAATTATTTCATAGTTGGAACTGAATTAATTTGAGGTGCTATAAATTTAGAAGGTTTCTTAATTTTAATGAACGTTATGATGTTAACAAATTATATTGATTCTGGTCGGTTATAAAAGCCAATTTATTTGATATGTTACTTAATATCGTCGGTATACTTTCATATTTAGTAATTAAATTGTTTTGATAAATTACGCTATATGATTACCAATCAGAACAACTATATTTATCATTTTTTAACAATACACGGCCACTGGAATTAAATTATTTCAGTTTAGAACCATTAAGAGCGCTTTCTAGTGAGATGGGGTCAAAACCTCAGCACAGAGGGCGCTCCCAATTGGGAATCTACAAAATTCGCCAGTTTGCTACACCACAACCTCCAGAAATCTGTTTTATTTAAAATATCTACCGAAAGATTGAACCCAAAATTTCATTTCCTAGCGGTTTATGTAAATATACATCGCATCTTTGTGCGTAAAAGTTCGCAGGGGGGCTTCTAATTATAGCCCCCGTCTAGGCGAAAGGAATTCCCTGCTGTCTATTTATATTTGTCTAGAGGCGTCGAGACGTGGGTTAACAGGCAGTGGCGTCGCGCAATGCACTCCCCATCCATCATCTTTTATCGAAATCATCCTCAATTAATATATCACCATCAGGACGGTGTTTGTTGCGAGTCTGTATTTTTTTAAATATTGCAGAGGGACTATTGTATGCTGATCGTGATTTATTGCGCTCGTCGTGGGCATTAAAGCGTATTCTTGAAATCGACAACAGGATGGTGCGTGTTTATGCTTTTTTATTGAGAGAAATTTGTTTATTAATTTGACGGTATTGTGCGAAAAACAGGGTTGAGGGGAAGGACAAGGCGGTATAAAGTTTACAAAAAGAGAAATAGAAAACTTTTCCAATTTTAAGAAAAACTCAGACTTTTTTCCATTTCATTACATTTTTTATGACCTAAACAACATTTAAACTCAAAATACAACACAACCCAGAGCTTCATTTCGTGCAAGAGATTGTTGTAAGTAATTCCTAAGATCGCTTATATCAGGATTGAGCTTTCTTTGTAGTCTTATTACGTTTATAATTAATTTTAAGAATTAAAACTCTTTAGGTACCTAGTACTTTTTCTATATTTGTTTTTTTAATACAATATTTTGCAAAATTATTACTTTTTACTTAAGATCTTGGAACAATATTTGAAAATCAAATGTTAACTACAAAATTTTTAATATGTACTTTATCATGGATTTTCTCAGTTTTTAATATACAGAATGTCCGGAAAATCGCGCACCTTCCTAATACTGTATTATCAGGCGATGCCCTAGACAACAAGAAAAATAAAAAAAAAATATTTACAGTATGGCCCCGGATTGGGTTTACAAGAGAAAAAAAATTATCTTTGATTTTACGCCAAAACTGCAAAGGAAAAATATTTTCTGCTTTACTTGAAACAAGCAAATCTGTAATTAAAACTTCATTATTCTAATTGAGTAGAAAGCAAATTTCATTTTTGTCTTGATTTTGGACTAATTTTTCTCTGCATTTCAAGTCCTATCACATTGTTGGTTTTATTATTTTGACAATGATGTAACTTTGACAAATGAGTCTACGCAAGTTAAATAACAAAAATGTTTGTGAAAAACATAATTTTATAAATAGCAATTCAAAGAAACGGCTTTAAGATAAATATCAAAGTCATTTTTAACATGAACGAGAAATTTTATTATTTAATTAATAAATTAACTGTCAAAGTGACATATATAATTGTCAAAAAAATAAAACCGCCAATGTGATAGGACTTAAAAAGTAAAGAAAAATTAACTTTTCTTTTCACTAAATAAGAATAATGAAATTTTAAGTAGAAATATGCTTGTTTTAGGTGAAGCAAAAAAAATTTTTCCTTTGCAGTTTTGGCATAAAATCAAAGATAAAGAATTTTTTCCTGTTGTACTCAGTCCAGGGACATACTGTATAAAAATTTCGAAGTTATGAGAGTTTAAATTTTGCCACTTTGACTCTATTTATTTTTGTTGGAAAAATAATTTTACAAGTTTTTTTGCTACAGGCTATTAGAAGAGGAAACATGGAAGCTGAATCCTAAATTGCAACTCTGTTTAGTATTATTTGTGGCTTTTATGAAAAAAATTTTTGTACCTTTACGAAATAATTATATACAAGATTATTAGTATCATTAAATAAACAAAAAAATGTCAAATGTCAAAAAATTAAAATAAAAAATGTCAAAATT